ATTTCATCGTCGATGCGGAGTTGTTGTTTTTGCAATGTGTTTCTATTTTTTTTTAATACATTATTGTCATTATATATCCATTACTATCTACAGATTCGCTTCAAAGCGTTTTTTCCATAATAATAGTACGACACCGTTCATTTTGTACCATTAAATACCAACAACAGAATAATAGTACACCGCGTGTGTAGAAAGGCCTTCACTCATTTTAAAACGTCAATAAAACGGTTTGCAAAAATTTCAAGTAAAAATATGCAAAACCGTACATTTATTTTATAATTTAGACATGGCCTCGAATTTGCTCTTGACGGTGAGAAAACACACAATAAACGTTTGTCTACAGATTAATTTCTTCTATATAATCCGCCAGTGACCGAGTTATACAAAATCGATTATAAAATATTACATTATCCTAAGTACTATAAAACAATTTATTGTGAAATATTTGAATTTGAATTATTTGTATAGCAAAAAAATACACCTTTATGAGTATGTGTATAAGGTATAAGCCAACATAAAAAAAAAATTCTGAGCATGATTTTAATAAAATAAAATAAAACAATAGTATTTAAATAAAAATAAAAATATTGTTCAAACAAAAATGTTAACAAAAAAAAAAGGATTTACGCCAATTTATACCTGTTAACTCAAGCGGTTATTTTAAATACAAATTAAAAGTTGGAGTGTAGTATTATTTTTATCTACGCACATTTTCCAACCGCACTTCAATTTTAACTTTTGTTAGAAAAGTTTTTGTATATTTTCGCATATCGGCGCACGTGATTTAAAAGTGATACCGAGTTCAAAAGTAAACGAATATTTAAAAATATGATTTGAAGTGTTGTTTATCGCATTCTCGCCTAAGCGTTCACACGAAAACACAATTTTTTTAGCACAATTTTCATACCTGTTTGATATACAAATAATATTAAATGAGAAAAAAAACGTTATAAACATCACTACTACGTACTAGATGGTATAATAACAAAAACGAGTAAACGTTTTCAAAATTTTACCCAAAAACGTATAGCTATACTCACACCAAAGTGTGAGTCTGAAATTACTGTTTTTCGATAAATATTATTTTGACACCATACGACTGACAATAATATTCTTTATCATCAACACGATGACTATGATTGGACTCCTCTTACTTAAAATGAATATGTGATTTAATAAAATATAAAACCAAAATTTCTATCATTCGTTGTCCTACTTTGATCTACAAAAAAAAAAAAAAACTTTAAATCGAATTACAGAATTAAAAAACAAAAAAGTAAACGTCCTATTCATAAATACACTACACTGATGTTTTATGTTGTTTGTTAGACCTATCTTCAGACTAATTATCAGTTCTTAAATCTTAAAAGTGCGCCAAAAATATGTCAACCTTTCTCGCAGGGGGGTGGGGGTTGTCAAAATTTCGGTTTTTCCATGTGCGATTTTGTTGATAGCACATTTTATATTGAAAATGCTAAGGTTATAATCCTAAACACAAAAATATTTTCAAAAAAACATAAAATTTCGGCACTTGTGCACACATCAGAATGTCTGAGTACATTTTTTTTTCCATCGATAAATATTCATACATTTTAGGCAGAAAAAACGTCGGTCTAACGACAAAAACAATGTATAAAATTGTCAATGTTTGAATTTCCAATTTTTTTTTGTTTGCTTTTGCACATCTTAGTGTTACTTTTTATACGTTGAAAATCCAAAGGTCATAGCAAATCGTCGAAAATGTTATCGAATCGGATACACTATTAACATACCATTTGCGCACATAGATATTGTATTATTGTACGACTACTGCCTGTAATAGTCCGTAAAACAAATAGTAACCTAACCTTAAGTATGGCTATCGACGGATATTCACAAGGGAAAAAGCCATTAAAATTGGGGTCGGGACTTAAGTTGGACCGAACTGACTGAATGTGATAAAATCACTTTAAAAAAATTTCATTAAAACCTAAAACTTATGCTTGGGCACTCAAAACTTACTGGGACCACTCTAAATAGTATCCGTTAAAATATTGGCTTGATTTCATAATTTTTTTTTAAACATGGATACATAATATTATGATTTTGGACTCCTGAAAAATGTTTTCAACTAATAGGTCTTATAATTACGGCTAAAAACACAAAAAAATTTGCACCCCTAAAAAAGTAGCAGTCTATACAGACAAAAAACCTACACCATAATGCAAATATATTTCAGATACCAGCTGTTGACTGTTGATTCACCCTTATTCATTGCAACCTACAAACCTACTACCGTAACATCGTTATTCCTCTCTTTAGTTTGGTTTTTCCCTAATAAAACAAAGCTTTACTACAGACTTTTAAGTAAATTTGAGTTGCACCATTTTTATGGTATACTAAGTAAACACAACTTTTTTTTTTTAAAGTAAAAACTTTACTATGGCTATAATCGATCTCGAAAGTCTTTTCATGTTTTTCTAAACGCCAGTAGTTAGAACCGCGTGTCTTAGAAATGTACTGAGTTATATAATTAACTAAGGCCACCGTTTGTTCGACTGTTTATGACAAATTTCAATATTTTACATTATTATCGTTACTTTCAGTAATTAGCATAAAAAAATTATCAAAATAGTAATTGCTAAAAATTGCTCTGTATTTATGGCAAAATATTTTTTATTTAAAAAGAAAATCAAGCGTATAAGTTTGCGTTTAAGTTTAAAAAGTCCACCTTTTTTAGACCCCCAGAAAAAGTACTAAACGTTTTCAGCCGTTATTTGGCTACATTCGTTTACTTTGACTACTTTTTGCTCATTGATAATGAAAACAAAATAATAAATCGTTGTAAAACATACACCTTACAATAATATACAAGTACCTTCAAATTTGCTACTAAAACCTGTAATTCTTGTAGTTTTGGTAATTGGAGACAGTTCAGTTTGTGTAAAAAAATGTTTTCAACAAAAATAAACGTATTATCATTAATGTATCACCCTGTATATAACAGGCTTTCGCGAGCTTCCGTTGATCAGTGGACTAATTTTGTGTTTATTGAGTTCGGCTAACGTGTGGAAACAACTGACGGTGGATTTTTATTCAAATAATTGGTGATCAATTGCATTTTTAAAATTTAATTAGATTAAATTGTTCAAACAAGGGGTATTATCAATATATTTTTAATGAACTCCATGGTATAAAGAATGGAATAACAAAAAATACATAAGACCATATTTTTACCAGATTACCCAATCAATAACAAATTGAATAATTTTTGGAAACTCTTATTGCAATTCATTATACGTGATTAAAAATTACAGTCTGGCGAATAATATGACATCGGTAGTTTACTGTATCAGTTGAATGACTCTGAAAGAAGTTTCACTTCATCCGTGCGTACTGGATTTTTTATTAAATTATTGTTTACCGAATTCTTGCGTAAGCGTTTACTCGAAAACATAGTTCTTTCACTTTAGAAAAAAAAAAGTGTGATTCGATCTGCGTTTAAATTTTGCACTGTTTGTATAAATAAAATACAGTGCTCGTTTGTGTTAAAAATATTATACAAAGCCTAAAGACTGTGTCTATTTTTTAGATACCCATGTTAAACTTGCATTTTAATAACGGTGTACGACAAATACTCATGGTCTTTAGAATTTCAAGGCCAACATGACTTGTTGACGATTTTTTGAAATTATGATAAAACCACCTATGTGAATCATTTTTTATTTTTTACTATGCAATAATATTTCAAGGCTATTGTAATTTTTTCGGCCTTGGGTAACAGGATTTAGGGAGGGGTGATTTTGGAATCTCTTATAGCAACGAGTATATTAATTTAGTTTTGCTTGTTAAGCTATATTTTTGGTAAAAGAGAATTTGACTGAACTTTGAAGTTTATAACGTCAATCAAAAGATACGTAGCCTTTTGAAATAATTTTTAAAAAATGAGATTTCTACAATAACCGTAAAGCATTTGAAAGAATTTAAATCAATTAGTTAGATAAATTGGGTAATTATAATTTTTATATAAATATCCACTGTTGAATTAATAGGTTTTAGTTAAACGTCGGTTTGGTGTTAAGGCCGCTGGATACCGACGGTTTTTTCAGCCAAAACACATCATTTTTTGTCCATCGCACAGGCCGAACCATTGATCCGATAAGCAATCTAAAAACAAATATGAATTTGTCATGAAGTTTAGTTAGTTGACTGATCTCAAGTAAACTTCATGACAAATTCAAATCTGTTTTCAGATTACTTATCGAATCACTGGTTCAGGCTGTGCGATGGACAAAAAATGTACTATTATATTAACTAAAATGGCTTTTACTCATAGACAAAATTATTTAAATTAAAAATAATACCATGAAGCTCATATAAATTAACCGGTAAATTAATTAACATGGTCAAATTTTAATAAAACCACTTTTTTCTTAAATATTGCCTATACAAAACTCCTTAAAAATGGTCGGTATCCAGGGTCCTTAACTTCGTTTTTAATAATTGTTTAAAACTAATTTTTTTTCTCGTTTTATCTAGTAAAATAAAAAATTATTTAACTAAAATATTAAAATAAAAAGATGTACATCGTATAATAATTTTTTTTAATTCCATCAAAATCTTAAAACTGTACAACCACTGAAAGAAAAAATAGGACAGTTGTAATTAGAGAATTTTAACTATCACACTAGATGAATAAAGTATCATTCGATATTATTTTTGATCATTGGATGGATGATTTTAGTATAATCCCTATCGTAGACATTTTTAAATTATAAACTATTTTGAATAATGATGATTCCGCGCTAAGCCGACGAAGGTCAAACATGAGTAGGTACCTACACAATAGGTACTTTACATATTGAGCTCACAGTTTATCTTTAAGCACTTTACTATGAAGAAAGAAAAAACAGAAAGAAAGAAAAATAACAAAGACCCTTACTCATGTTGGATTTAGTACTCGAGGTTTTTTTAAAAGATCTCCTTAGCTTTATGTGCTATTAACATCTATAAAATAGGTAGGCAATTCGTAAATTAGGTAGTGTCGTATTGACACTATTATTAATACTACTACTGCTACTGCTATAGACGATAATTGTTTGAAAACAAGGAGCAATGTATACGATTATATTGTTGTTGTGCTGTGCAATTTTCACCAATGTTCAACGTACAGAGCAAGCTGACTTCTTAGAAGATAACTACATACAAAGGCTGAACAAAGTAGCAGTTACTTGGAAGGTAAGCCTGATTGAAGCAATCTAACATTTCTAACATTTTCTTTGATGTTCTATGACAACTTTCGATTGTTTTGCTAATATAATTAGATTAACCGTGGCAATATAATATTGTGTAAGGTAGACAACTTTTAAGTTATTAAATATCTACCTCTTGGCCTTTGTTTCTGAACGGTTTGTTGGGAAAGGTCACAAAATGCTTTACTTATTGCGGTAATAATATTATCCTAAAATATTATTATGCTAGGCTGGCGTTAATTTCCATCCAAAAACTAGTGTGGACGACATAAAACGTCTGTTGGGATCTTATGCCTTGGGGTCGCCGAAAACGGAACCGGTCAAGGTACACGATGCCGTTTACTTGGCCGAAACCCAAATTCCGAAGACGTTCGACGCCCGTAACAAGTGGAACTACTGTACAACCATCAAAACGGTTCGTGATCAGGGTAATTGCGGATCTTGCTGGGTGAGTCCCATACATATTATGTGTATACAGTAATACATTTATAATTTATATATACCAACCTAGTTTTAAACGTGCCCGAAGCGACCAAACTTCAAATACAGTACTATTAGCCAATAGATATTTTTGAATGTCCTAAGCTATACAATTGTGTAATCGAAAAATGAAGGGAAAGTATTTAAAGGGCACAGGGGAAGAAGAGTAGTAGTCCATTTATGAAAGTTTTAGAGTAAAGCAGAAACAAAGTTCGTAAATTCCTCTTCCTCTTACATAAGAACAAAAAAAATAACATTAAGTGTTATTCTAATGAAAAGTGTATTTATTTAAACAATCTATTGACATAAATAGAAAAATTAATGGCATATATTGAAAAAAAAATTTTCATAAATGGACTACCTACTACCCTTCTTCTTTTGTGCTCTTCAGGATGTTCGAACAAATCATAAGACTATGTAATAGGTGTTTAGATAAAAATATAAAAACTCAAATCTTATTATAAAAAAATCGTAAGAAATAACTTTGGTAATCACTTTTATTATAACTATAAACTGAAGAAATGAATTCTATTTTCTGGAAAAAACAATAATTTTTTAATTTTCTGAAAAATTTGTAAAATTAATTTTACTTAACTGGATAACGTACATATTTTGAGGCATAACAAATATTTAACAGAAGCTTTACCCGTGAGTTTAAAATCGTTTTTAATTTTAATTTTAAATTATTCATGTTGTGTAGGCGTTCAGCACAAGCAGCGCGCTTTCGGACCGTTTGTGCATAGCGTCCGAAGGGACATTCGATGAACTGTTGTCCGCCGAACAGCTGACTTTCTGCTGTCGTAGGTGTGGATACGGTTGCAACGGAGGTTATCCCATAAGGGCCTGGGGTTACTTCCATCGAAACGGCATAGTCACCGGTGGCAACTACAACACTACTCAGGTAGGCACAATATAGCCGAAAATCTGATGTACGGACATTGCATAGTAGTTTCCGGGACGGAGAGGTCAAATTGTGTAACTGATTTATATTATGGTTATTCGGTAGGGATGCCAACCGTACCAGGTGCCGCCATGTGTAGAAGACAAGACAGGGCATAACACGTGCGAGAACCAACCGATAGAGAAAAATCACAAATGCCAAAACATTTGCTACGGCGACACCGGAATCAAGTTCAAGAAAGATCACAGATACAGTAATATATACGTTATAATAAAATGGCGGTGCAGGATAAATTGAGTTTCAATTGGTTCCAATGGGACACTATCCAAAAATCGGTATTTTTCTGTAAAATAAGGTGTTCTGTAAACATTTTAAATTAAAAACAAAAAATGACCTATCACTCGACGCAATTCGTCACTAAAAAAGGCAGGTACCTATATAGTTTGTATAGTTTAATAATTAGATAAATTCTCTTTATTAACAAATCAAATTTGGCTACCTAATATATATTTATACATTTTACAGTTATTTAAAAAATGCAATCTACATGTTATGTTATGAAATAGATTCGGGCACACTTAAAACACATTTAATTAATATACTTTGAATTTCTCAAATATAAATGTCTAGTTTTTGTATGAAGTTTGGGAGGACCAATTTATTGCTTTACTTATTTTATGAGAATTATAACTCAAATTTCTATATTGTTTGCATTACGTATAAAATGTAATAAGACTTTTATTATAAACGTAACCACCATTGATTATAATAATAATAAAAATAAAATAAAATTACAATTTGTTGATTATTGCCTCCCTTCATCTTGTCCGGGGTCTTCTTACATGTACTTTACCAGATAATTTTCCTTCAGTTAGATACTTGTTTGATTTGTGTTTTTTAATCTGTCCTTTATACTCGACCGAACCATTCTACCTATTCTACCTAACACTTAACGATAGCTATTACTGTTAACAGCCAGAAACACGTATTATCTATCGTCTCCGAAATCGATGCAGCAAGACGTGTTGGCCTACGGTCCGATCGAAACGTCGTTTCATGTGTTCGATGACTTCCTCAGCTACAAATCTGGTAAATAACGAAATGGCTCATTATTGATACCTATAATTGCCAAGTAAATGGTTAATCGTTTCTTGTATCCCTAACAGGTGTTTACTCCAAGACAGCAGTTGCCACGTACCTGGGAGACCACTCGGTAAAGCTGATCGGTTGGGGCGAAGACAACGGGGTGCCATACTGGTTGATAATGAATTCATGGAACGACAGCTGGGGTGACAAGGGTTTGTTTAAGATCCTCAGGGGCAGCAATGAATGCAAAATCGAAGAAAACCCTACTGGTGGCGAACCGAAAATCAAATAGGTGTTCTCATTCCCCGTTTACGTTTACCATTGTATTGTATACAAAATAATAGCATTTAGGTATCTGTAATAAAGCGGTATCTCTTTAGAGAATCGCCAAGAGGTATTACTTTATTGCAGGTACCCAAATCCTATTATGTTTTATACAGATTCGGTTGGTCCTACCACTCCAACGTAGACGGGTGTCCTGAGCACATTTCAATTAAAGGTAAATGGCACAGCCTATTTTTTTTTTGTGAGTGGTTTTGTGATAGTTTTGAATCATTTTTTTTTTAATTTTCATATAATTTATTGAAAACTGTAAGAGAATACTATAGTCAACACGTTTAATTTTTGGTATATTTTTATATGTTAGGTACATGGTATAATTATTCATGTTATAGCAACCCAATTATTTTCGTTGTTTCGCGTTTATAAGTGTATACATTTGATTTTATATATTTTATAAATATATTATGTATTTTTATTCAATAAAATCAGCTTTGTCATTTTATAAACGCATTATTCGATTATATTTTGCTTCTCTATGTGTGTATACACGCGCTCATTGAACACATTGCAAATCAATATGTTATAATACAATAGGGTTATTTTAATAAGTATAAATAATTCATCCAAGTTTCATTTTGAACACTAGTTTACTAAAAAAATGGTATTTTCATTGAATCGACTTTCTTTTTTTTAACGGCTAAGGAAATAAAATAATAAAAAAGTGGTGAAAAATGTTTTCAGAACTGTGGCAAAAATACATCCACAAAACAAAATCGGTAGGACTATAGAACGAATGGTTAGGTTTGAAACTTCATCTTTGTCATATTTCTGAAAATAGTGTACAACTACTATAGTGTACTTATACAATAATATTGTAATTCGTACCTAATTAGTAGTGACATATCACTTGAAAAAAGTAACGATAATTTACTAAAAGTTGCCAAGCATGAAATCAGTTCTTTAAAAAACCATATAATACAATTATATTATTTATCCCAATGGAAGCAAACGACACACTCATGTAAATATTGTTTAAACAATCAACACTGATAACATTTGAGTGTATAAGTTTAGGTATGTGAAAATATCGGTGATTCATTCACCTTTGTTGTAAAATTTGAATTGCACGTTATTAAAAATGATCATAGATTAGGTATTGTAATATTAAGTCTGCTATCTACGGCTGTAATATAAATTATGAATGCCAAGTAGCCACTTATGTAATATTTTGTTTTTATACGATTGAGACATATTATATACTTTTATTATACCATTTAAGTATGGTAAATAAAAAATGTTATTATAAGTATTTATAGCTGTTCACACAATGGTTTACAGCGTACAGTTATGTAAAATGTTTATACAATTTATTTTAATTAATTAAGTTGATCTGAAGTGTACCTAGTAAATTGATTTTTAGGATTTATTCAATAATGGTAGGTAGCTTTTATTTCAGCAATATTTAATACAATTTACATTGTAAAGCAACTAAACAGTAATACTGGAGTTAAACAGGAAACATTTTTTTAGATACTATGCAGGTAATATAGAAATTAATGCCAGACACGTTATACTACAGAACACAGGCTTTAGTTTTATTTTATCCCTGTTGAACAGATGACTTCAAATATATTTCCTAATAAGTAATAACCAACATCGGTAAAAAAAATAGTAGAAATTGCATTTTAACGGCAATCTAAATGATTTCTCGCTTAAAAACGCTAACGTTTAATTTTTATAAACAGACATTGTCTAGGATACCAACCTTACAATGACTTAAAACCCAAATTTCGACAATTCAAACATAAACCATACGATATTAAAATTAATTTGAAATTCAAATTGCCATAGGTGCCTAACTAGAATTTGTTTTAATGAATTTAAGATGCCAATGGCATAACTTATCGACAATATATGATTTACTAAACTAAATCTACCACTCTTAAATTTTTTTAACGAGATGATTATATTATGCTTGGTTTTACCTTTGTCTTGTTCCATTGTCTTGGAATTTAGTGTATAAGAAAATTCATAAAATAAAAGTAATTATGTATTTTTTTATGCATTATTTGTACATATTAGATGTTTTAGAGACATTTTATACATTACCCGATGCTTCGTTACAAACACAAAAAATTGTTTATAGGTAAAATGCTAACTTAATTACATTCTGCAATGAAAGTGGAATTTTCTAACAGTCGACTGTTATAACCATTATTTTAGTCAAATTAATTTTTGCCCTTTTGTTGAGCGTTATTTGTTTGCCACTTTTTTTTCAAAAAAAAGCAAAGAACAAACATAATCTACGTTTAAGCATAGTGTTGCATACCGCTGAAAAAAACGCGGTGCGGTTTATAGTACTCCAGTAAGGATATTATCCGAAAATAATGTAGGTATACACTTACTTAGCTAGGTATTCCATTTCGGTCCATAGATCGTCGTTATTTCTCAGCTTTTTTTCGTCCTATTTTATCATAGCCCACTCATCACACGCATAAAGAATTACACTGGTCTTACACTCGCGTCGACGCACACTGTGTCAGAAAGCCTTCAAAACTGGCAAAAAATGAAAAATAAATTGTAATTTAAACTACGAAAATTTCAGCAGTATGTAACATTACCATTACCATTACCTTATTATATTAGTGTTGTTTGTACGATAACACGTTAAAATAGGTCACGTTATTTTAGTACCGTGGTTAATTTACTGTTTGCGACCAAATGATATGGCTCTTTTTTCCGCTCCTTTTACCGGGGCGATTATCGACGAGTCGCCACGATAAAAATAAATGTCATACGTTATTAACATTATTCCTTTTTATTTTTATTTTGAGATATTATCTAAATAATACATTCCTACACTATGGAACCTTCGACGTCAGGTATGTAATATTTCTTTAGCCATTTATTGTTTGAGATGGTTTATAATTTATATTTTATTTATATAAAAAAAAAATTGATTAAAAAACATTTGAAATTGTCTAGTTATGTTCCTAAGTAAATTGTGTGCCGAATGTTTTTTTTATTATTATGTACGAGTTACAAGAGCAAAAGAAACTTAACACATTTTGCTACTTTCTGCTACTTTGTTAGTTATGTCCATATTTTGTCCAAATTTGCATAATAGAATCGTGATTAAGGGTTTTCTTAGCTTACGCATACATCCTGTCATATGTTTCTATTTGTACTTACTAAATAATATCCCTATTAAATAGTTTAAATAAATAATAAAATAATAATAATAATTTTATTAGTTGGTTATTATAAATAGGTGTTGGTCTATGTTTATCGTCATAGCGTTTGCCATTTTCATGATGTGCTTGTTATACATTTGATTCATACATTCTTTCTACACCGAGTTTAAATGAAACACATTAGGTACGTGTTGGATACAGACTGAACTGTATCAAATATTATGAATAAGTCATTCTTTACTCATTAAATGCTTTCTTATGTACCTATTTATACAATGAAAACAACCTAGTTATGTTTGAAAATCAAATAGTATCTTTTAATTAACCAATTATTTCTCATGCTCTTTAAGAAATACTGCGCAGTTTTTGAAAATAATCATTATTGTATACATCATAAAAAATACGTCTATTAACGTTTAAAATCAAAGAAATATTGATTTAGATATGTCTAAAACATTTTTGAACAGTACTATTCATTATGTCATACAATTTGACGGTTGAACAGCTTTGTACTTAGTTGTTACTCAATTTTTAGGTAAGTAGGTAATACAATAATGAAAACATTTTAGGTACCATAAAAATGTGTGTCTGGTAAATGGTTTGAGATAAAAAAAAACCTTTCATAAAAATCAGGAAAGCGTTTTTTGATGAGTTCTTCAATTCATTCACTCCTAGATGCAAACGTCAAATAGTGTATGATCTGGTTAGATGTGATGTGGTTTCATTAGTTATAGCTATTAAGTCATTAGGTAGTATTTGATAATATGACAACGGTATGATATCGAAGGGGTAGATTCTATTCTTGTACTAAATGATAAATGTATATAGATACAAATAATAGAGTAATACGTATTTGGAATTTTACTATGTCAGTTATATTTTATAGATGAATCAGTTAGTACCTACATGAATATAGGGTAAACCTATATAAGATCAAAATTAAATCTAAACATATTATTATAGCTAACTATATTTAGATACTTCAGCGTTACTCAATATCACAAATTAACAGAATACTTGCATACCTTATTCACACATAATTACTATTATAAAATACATTAATTAAAAATACTCGGTTTAACAGCACTATATAGCATTTAATACACACTTCATTAATCCTTTTTATACCTAAAAATTCTCTAAATTATGTACATATATTAAGTTTATTTAACCTTCTATTGATATCGTATAATGAAGTGTTCAATTTTGATTTCTTCAATGATAATGTTTCAATACATACTTAAATTAATCACTTTAAAGTATAAATTTTAGCTTTATTACTGTGGGATTTTACTTTTTTTTCTCACTTTTGTATCTGTTTACTCATTATAAATTACTCATCTAATAAATAAATAAATATCATAAATATTAAATTCCCTAATTCATAAAAACGTTTACCCGAAACAATGACACTGCGAATTTACTCTATAATTATATTAATATTTAAATATTACTTCGATAATACTATAAATTTATCCTTAATTTTTAATAAGTTTTATAAAAATAGTCTCCTCTTCTTTTTTTTTTTATACTAAAAAAACCCCCGTTGGCGAAAAATTAAAATATTTTGTAGTTAATTGTATATCATAAATTTAATGTCTTACAAGTATAGTTGAAATACTTTATTAATATTATACAAATTTCAATATTTGAATAATATATTAGATTTCTGACCAAAAATCATATAAAATATACTTTTATAATTTTTAAATTGTTTTGCCAACTTCAGTATTTTTTTTATATTATATACTTACGTATTTTACAGTTCAGGCGAGAGTGAAGACGACGAGTCAAGGGAGTCGATAACTGCTTATCAGTGATATTTTATTATCATCTCATCCTCCCTAAATTATTATTTCCTATCACATAATATCAACCCTTGTATAAAAAAATGAACCATCGACTTTCGTTTATTTATTTAAAGTTTTTTCCTTGAAAAATATTTTTTTCCATTAATTATCAATCATTATTTTTATTACAACATTCTTCCAATATTACTATTATTATTAAACTTATTAGTTGTTATATCAAACTACTGATAAAATAGTCAGTTGGCAAGGAGATTTATTACCTTTGCTTATTATTGGAAAACGAATTATTTTATAAATAAAAAAATAGGTACTTAGGTACTATTACCTACAACCTATACCATTACTATTTCCTGCTTTTTTACCTATAGGTAAAAAATTCTTATTTATCTGGCAAAAAGTAAAAATTTAGATTGGTAATTGGTTTACTACTTATCACCTATCA